TTGTTTACTTTCAGTATTAGATAGTTCATTAGGATGTTGTGGGCCTGTCTAGACATCCATCTCAGTTATTAGAGGCTCATAGATAGACAGTCAATTGGTCATTTGTCTTTACTTTGTTATTGACTTATGTTCAGAGTTGAGTTGCCATTTTGGCTAAGTTAAATGTTTATTTTTAAAATATTATGAGTTCAATTTGAGCAGTTCAGTTTATTTTTTTAAAGTACATTTATAGTGTTTGATCATTATAAATATGCATATAGTCTTCCGTTGAGTAAGTAAGCCAAGCCAAGGGTTCGCTTGGGGCCAGCAATGGTTGAGTGCCGGCCACGTCTAGGATGTAGGCTCGGGGCGTGACAAAAGTAGTCCAGCCAAAATTTCCACGTGGGACAATGACACGACGGCAGCACTAGATGGGGCAGAGGCTGGAGCAGAGATTGGGAGCAATATTTGAGGCATGACTAAACTAATTGAGGCAGCAACAATGAGGGTGACACAAGCAATCTTCTTCATCTCCATATTTATTTATTTTTTTAAAAAATAAATAATTATTATTTATTTGAAATTTGTGTTTGATTTTTTTATTTTTTTTTGCTTTGGTGAATTAAATGTGGTTGAGAAGAGGGTTATATATAATATGTCTGCGTATAATTTCAACCACATTTGAATATTTATGGCTAGAGTGATTTTAGGGTAATTGTTAGAAAATCATCTGTTTGATTTTAAGGGTTCTCAATTTTCTTTTTCTTTTTCTTCTTCTAAGATTTAGCATTTTCTTGTTGGTTTTGGTTTGTCATGTTTGTTTTTTTTGGAAAAATTACTAAAATACACGTCTTATGTTTCCCTTATTTCCAATATCCCCTTCTATTTCTAAAAACCTCTAAAATCCCTTATTTCTTTAGGGCCCGTTTGGCCATGCGATATGAAATCATGATATGGTATCATGATATGGAATCATGAGATGAAATTGAAGGTTTGTTTGGACATGCGATATGGATTTTTTGTGTTGTATATTTTCTCATAAACATAAAAATCCCATAAGTTGTAAAACTATTAAAATAGCCCCAATTGTTTATTCAATCTGATCAAATAAACAAAAAATTATAAAAGCACATAATAAATTATTACAAAGTTATTTGTTTCCACTTAAGTAATTGTTTCATCTAACTTTAATTTAATAAAAAAAATTGAACATAAATTTTAGTGTACTAGTCTTTAATATAATCCTCCCACATAGTACGGACAATTTCTCACGTTGAACTTGCATTTCTCGATCATGTGACCGAGAAGACGAACCAACATTGTTACTTTGAGCCATTTGTTGGTCAATATCCTCCGCAACTATATCTTCATGATCATAGACCATAAATATTTCATCACTACTTTGGTATTCTCGCAAATAATTATGTAATACTGCACAAGCTATAACATTTTTCACTTGTGTATCAATATCATAATGGTTCATGCCTTGTTTCAGTATTCTAAATCTATTCTTCCAAGCTCCAAAAGTCCGTTCAATCACATTGCGTAGAGATGAATGCCTATAATTAAATAGTTCCTTTGGCATTTTGAGGCTCTCTTTCACTTCCTCGGTAATCTTGCAAAGGATAGCGTAGTCCTTTGTATGGAGCTGAAAATCCTTTTGTGTTCCGAAAATCAGCATCAACAACATAATATTTATCTACCAAAAAATATTTTATAAAGAATTACTAAAAGCATATGTTACTTAAATGAGACAGCTTTGTGTAAATAAATAATATTTATTCTAAGGATGTAATTTAAAATTACCATGTGGCGGAAATGGAAATTATGACGTTGGTTTAACAAGTGTTGTTCAAGATTTTATGGTTGAGTATAAATAATTATGCATTTAAGCCTATCCAACCTAACTTTCATATCAATTTATTAGAGTAAATGAAGAAAAGATCTTTCACTCTATGTTCAAATAGACCTCCATGTTCAAATAGATATAACTATAGCTGTAATAAATACAAAACGGTAGAAATAATAAATTAAGTGTTGTAGTAAATGAACAGAACAAATTTATTATTTAACAATCGATTGGTGTGAGTTAAAGTGACTATATGTTGGTGAGAATAATAAATTTTAAAAAGTAATGATGTGATTATAAATTTTATTTACATATGAAATAAATGGTTAGTAGATATAAACTCGTGGATCAGTTTTTGTATTAAAATATCTCAAATAATAATATGGAATTCCCATATAATTCCATATCATGATTTTTGGAGAATATGAAATTACATCTCATGATATGGAATCATGAGATAGAATCAATATAAAATTGCATGTCCAAACGCTGATTCAATTTCACGATACCATATCGTGATATGGTATCGCATGGCCAAATGCCTACTTAGTTTGTTACTAGTAGTATTTGATAACCCTTTCTACTTAAATGTCCTATCTGGTTAAATTTATTTTATTTTTTCAAAAGTGCTTATTTTTTAAATGTGAGAAGTTTTTACCAGATTTTTGGAAGAAAATATGTGTTTATGTAAAGAAGCATAAACCTGCTTTTCATAAGTTTTTAAAAGATAGTCTTTTTTCTTAAAAATACTTTTTAGAAAAATACACTAAAATATACTTTTAAAAAATTTGATCAATCCTTAATTACTGTTCAAAAGTATTTTTGAAAGAATTTATTAGTCAGACATAAGCTATTTCTCATCAAAAATATTTTTTTATAAAAAAATTCAAATAACAAAAATCATTAAGTTCATGACTTTTGACTCATAAGCTTATCAAAATCGATTAAGTTCATGACTTTTGACTCATAAGCTTATCAAAATCGATTAAGTTCATGACTTTTGACTCATAAGCTTATCAAAATCGATTAAGTTCATGACTTTTGACTCATAAGCTTATCAAAATCGATTAAGTTCATGACTTTTGACTCATAAGCTTATCAAAATCGATTAAGTTCATGACTTTTGACTCATAAGCTTATCAAAATCGATTAAGTTCATGACTTTTGACTCATAAGCTTATCAAAATCGATTAAGTTCATGACTTTTGACTCATAAGCTTATCAAAATCGATTAAGTTCATGACTTTTGACTCATAAGCTTATCAAAATCGATTAAGTTCATGACTTTTGACTCATAAGCTTATCAAAATCGATTAAGAAAGAATAGCCAACATATAAATTGATACATAAGTTGTAATTGATATAGCAATTGAAATTTGGTTAGGTAAGTTCTTTTTTTTTCTTTTCGAAATTTGTATTCGAAATGTAACTTATAAAATTAGATGGTCGAGTTCAGGGTAAAAAGCAAAAATACGACGCCGTTGATATCCTATCTTCTTCTTCGGGATCGTTGTTTGGGGTCTGAAAGGTGAAAACACCAAATCCGAAGCAGAGCACTGGAACACCTGAATACAAATGTCGACAATTTCGGCAACATTTTTTAGATCATTATTCTCTATAGCTTCTCCGCCACCTTCTACTATTTCAAGATTCTTTCTTCCAACTCCTTTACTTTTACCCAAATTCCGTTCATGCCCAAATCCTCTTACTTCTTCGTCAAGGAAAACGGTGGCATGTACCAATTCTTCAGAAGAAGCAGAAGTCACTCAGACACTGGATGAATGGCTTCAGAAACTACCCGATAAGACGAAGCCTTTGTACTCTCATAGTTTGCCCTGTATAGAAGCCTGGTTGAGGAGTTTGGGGTTTTATCAGAGTAGAGATGATAGAGCTCTTTGGTTTGTTGAAAACCCAGATTGGCAGGCTCAATTGTCACTGGATATCACTGAACTTCATATAAGGTTAGTTTTAATTTATTGATAGCCCCATTTTCATGAACCTTTATGATAAAGATCATGTTTTTAGTATGTCTGTTTCGTTATATTTAGCTGCTCTTCGCATGTGCCTGTTCACGGTTATGCAGGGTAACCCGTGCATATCGAGAACTTTAGTGCACCGGACTGCCTATGTGTGTTATGGAATGAAAGGGTCTAATGTGAGTAGTGGCAGAACCAAGATTTTCCCAAAGAATTCAAAATATAAAAAAGTAAACATACCAAGAAGCTAAGGGTTCAATATCTATTAGATATACATACAAAATAATTGTAACCTTGTATATATAGTGTAGTTCGGATGAACCCCTTCTGGTTCCCTAGCTCTGCCGGGAGATGAATGCGAATGGAGGTTCATCTAGCTGACCCCAGTTAAGGTTTAGTTAATTGAGTAATTGATACTGAAGTTTTGTGATTTTTGGAGTACTGCGACAAGAAACAGATTATGGTGAAATTCAGGATTGAGGTTAACTTGAAAAAGCACCACTTATTGATAGGTTTTGGGTCTTATTCGATGGGGTCAGTTGCTTTCTTAACCATTGTCACGTTCTGTATATGATTATAATTGGAGATTGAAGTGGTTAAGCCTGCATAGATTTGGTTTAACCAAGAAGGGTTTGCTTGTTTGATTAGTGTCAAGAAAATCCATACAGGTTATACTGTTTGAACTGCATTCTGTTGTTAAAGGATAATTTACAGAGAATCAGGTTACATTTGGCGGCAACATTAAGTTTTCACGACTTTGTTGGACCTAGTGGGTGGGGAATTCTTTTACTGGCTATAACAATCAAATACCGGAGTTCTTATTGTAACAATGTTTAACTTTGTGAAGTTAAGATCCTATGTAGTTAGCATGTTCCCTGCCCCTTTTTCTTGATTTTGTGTTTTCATGATGTTCATGATAAGAAGTTTGGCACCCAAGGGTGTGGCGTAACAACCACTGAAGTGGGTGAAAACCATGGGAGACTAGGGTTCAAATCCAAGTAGAAATTTATCCCCAACTTACTCGGTACTTGTGTTGATGGAAGATAGCAGGTACCCAGTGAAATCGTGGAGGTGCACAACCTAACCATACACCACTGTTAACAAAGAAAATGATAAGAGCATTTGGAGAGGTTGATTGGTTATTGTCTACGTTTCTGGGTTTAGAAACATAAATTTAAGTTTTGATTGGTATCTATTGTTGTGTATTGTACCTTTCTTCTGGTGAGAGGAATTAATATATTTGTTGATGCTATATTGATTAAAAGTGTGATTGCATCTTAGAAAGGAAAATTCATGATTGCAGCCTTTAGTCAAGTCTGGTGGATATCTTGTTTCATGAAAGAAAAGGTCCGGCGGATGTCTCTTTGGTGGCTGATGGACAGAATAGTGAAGTTTGATTTTTAGGTTTCGGAACTATTTGCCAGTGTCTCTACTTATAAGTTAAACTTCTAAGGGCGACCTAGTAGTCAATGAAGTAGGTTGAGAATCATGAGCTCTCATGTTCAAATTCCAGCAGTGGCAAAAACACTTGGTGATTTCTTCCCTTTATCCAAGCCAAGAGTTAGCCGATCTCTATATTGGTGCAATGTAACAAGTACCCCGTGAAATTAGTCGAGGTGCGCGCAAGTTAGCCTAGACACTACTGTTATTAGAAAAGAAAGAATATAGAAAGACTTGCATTATATAGGGTACCCAGATTGATACTTGATTCACAAGTTTTGAAATTGAGGTCTCAAGGTTCAATGGAACAATTTGCACACTATTCTGTTGATTTTGTACTTGATATCTTTTTCTTTTTGTAGGTTTGGATTCTAATTCTCCTTCTAAGCAATTTATTTATCAAAATCATCAGCATTCAAATTCATGCATAGAGAAATTTTGATACTCGGTCATGCTTGATATGAAAAACCTGCTTAAAGTATAGTAGCCGTGAACATGAGCATATGATGCATAAATATCTTTTTAATTATTGTCTCTTGCTTTTTCCTATTGGATGTATTGTAGGATTTGTTTAATTTACTGAAAACTTCTTAGCACTTAATGATATTATATTTACCATTGTGGGTATGATGCAAAAGAAGCCACCAGAAGTCCATGTGTTTTCTTTCTTAAAAGTAAAACTGAACAAGTTAGCAGCATAATGACTAGCATTGTCAGGGCTTGAGAAAGCAATGTTTATCGGGAAACCCATTGTCGGGGATTGAAAATGCATGGAGCATGGGTAATTATAGATATTATTGGATGTATGTGTTTACTTGTAGAAGAGCTTGGGCCTTCAAAATGTTTCAACCTTTAGAGAGGGAAAACTCTCTTTCGATGCAGACCATAGTTCTCGAGAAATTTTGAAGAATTGTATTACTTCTAGTTCTCCTGACAATGTCATACTACAATCAATAATTACTAGATCATAGTCATACTAAATTCTTTGATAAACAATTTGTGATTGCTCTGTAGTGGTAATTTTATTGCAATATTCAAATAATATTTCACCGACAGTTTGAACTTTGATCTAATACAAGCTTAATGTTTCTTGAAATACAGGTATCTGAAGAGAGGACCTGGAAATCTTGAAAAAGATGTAGATAGAAGATTTAGCTATGCACTGAGTAGGGAAGATATTGAAAATGCCATACTTGGAGGTCCATAAGGACAAACATTTTATGCGTGTATGTTAGGTAGCCATAACACTGTTCCATCTCAATTCCAAGCAACTCTAATGAGTAAAGTTTCCCAAAAACTCATATAGATACACATACAGTGGGATCTGAATTCTTTTTAGGAAGGGGTTATGTAGAGATATATTGTGGGTTGGATCAAGCTTATGTTTCATAATGATTTATGGGAAACATTGTTTACTTTCATAAATTACGTGGCTGATGCTCATCCATTTCTATTGCTGTTTTTTCGTTCAGTGTAAAAATTGATAAGAACGGGTTTTAGACTAGTTTTCATACTATTGTTAGAAAACTATTCATATTATCAGAATTCTGTGGTTCTTTCCTTGTTGTTATAGCTTGTTATTACTTGGTTAACTGGCCACTAAATCCTGTAGGAATATCTAGAGAAGTCAGGCAGTGATCCTGCTTGTGTCTGCGGTGAACAGCATTGTTACAGAAAACCAAAGAACATTTTCTTTTGGGAAATGCTGAGAGATTTTCCATTGTCGTTGATATAATGCAGCACATATGTTTTCTGATGCTTCCCTGAAGTTCTACTACCAAGTTTAGACAATCATATGCAGACTCTTGTTCAATCTTCCTTTTTTGGCACTCATTTAAATTTGTTGACAAATAACTGGTTCTATATTGGGTGTAGTACAGATCAGGTTGTAATCCAAGATATTGGATTTGCCTCCAGTTGAGGAGAAAGAGAGCCTTTAGCACAGAACTTGAAACTATCTCATCACCTATTATTGCTAGTTCCATCGCGATGAATCTACTTTCTTTCATTATTTGTTAAACTGCAACTCTGGACTATGGAGTTGCTTGTTTCATCCTTAATGGCGATGGAGAATTGCTACAGCTTATCAGTTGACAATAACACCGCAAGTGTGGTTTGAGTAAAAACTTAATTTATACTGTTGGAAGATAGACATCTGTAAGCATACATCCGATGAAAAATGGTACAAAATCAAGAAGACCGACACATAAGGTACAGTTCACACTAGCTACCTACCGAGCTATCCAAATTGCACAATAGAATTTGGAACTCTAGTTCTTTAACAGTCAATATCGCGCTCAGCTCTGCCCTAATGGTGCCTTGTTCGGGCATCCAAAACAGTTGCAACTACACAGGGCAATGTGTGTTTGGCCAAAAAAGATGTTGCAAATCCACAGTTGGCTTCAATGAGATTCAGCCGAGTCATAGTGAGACCAATACTCCTTTACAAGCTGCCCGAATAGTGAATTTTCTTGCTTCATCAGCTTCATTGGTTCATCATACTCCACTAGTTTCCCTACAGTATTCACAACCAAAGTTGAAGTCATTTTACAGTTAAAACAAAACTCTTAATATATGCGCGTTTAAAACTAAATAAACAGCTCTTACCATCACTAATGGCCAGAACCATTGTACAATCCATTACTGTGGGTATCCTATGAGCTACTGTAATAACAGTACTGTTAGCAAATTCTGTCCTGATAGTTTTCTGCAATATCATATCAGTAGCATTGTCAATTGATGCAGTTGCTTCGTCAAGCACCAAAATCTTAGCTTTCCTCAAAAGAGCACGTCCCAAACAGAACAGTTGTCTTTGTCCCATGCTCCAGTTAGATCCATCTTCCACAACTGCAATGACACTAACATCGCTAACAGAACCCAAACTGGATAAAACAATCAGACGCATTCTTAGAAAAACTTACCCAATGAGTCGAGCCCCTTTTCTTTTTCCTCAACTGGCTCTTTTAGCTGACACTTTCCAAGTACCTCCCATATTTCCTCATCAGTATGCTGACATAAGGGATCCAAGTTGTATCTTACTGTTCCATTGAAGAGTGTAGGGTCTTGAGGTATAATCCCAAAACGGGACCTTAAATCATGAAGACCAATTTTAGAAATGTCAATTCCATCTACCAAAATCCTTCCACTTGTTGGCTCCACTAATCGAAATAATGCACCAATGAGTGTAGTCTTGCCACTGCCAGTCCGGCCAACAATACCAATTTTATGGCCTCCTTCAAATGTACAACTGACCCCCCTAAGAACAAGCGGGGAATCTTCCCTATATCTGATCTGTTTTGGGAAGAACACTGATCAGTATGATGAACGTTCCGAATACAAGAAAATTAGGGTGGTGAGACCAAGTTTTACCTGCAAATCTTGAATTTCAACTTTACCCCTTGTTGGCCAATTAACTGGTGGACGGTTCTCTTTAACAATCTCAGGAGCTTCACTTGGGATGTGCATATACTGGTTAAGTCTTTCTACAGAAATTATGTAATTTGCGAGTGTGCACTGGTTTTGAATGGAAAAAACAAGAGACATGTTTAAGGAAAGACCATAGGACAAAGCCATCCCAATAAATCCTGCAAAAGTTTAATAAACATTAGGCGAAAAATTAAGAAACAATCATCTAGTTTCAAGAGTAATATTGGTTGATGGCATACCTGAGCTGAAAGTTCCAGGAGGAAGCAAAACCATGCAGAGTGCCGAAGATGCAAGAACAGTTGCACTAATAGTTTCCAGTCGTTGAATCAACCACTCGTTTGCTGCAAAATTGTGGAAGAAAGGACTGGCATTTATATCAATAAGCTCAAAAGTCTTCGCGAAAAACCTATCTTCCTCTTTGAATGCCCTTATAGTGACAGCTCCAGCAATAGATTCAGAAAGATGGTTAGCCACAAATGATTTGGTAGTACCATTTATCCGCATCAACTCTTTGGCTGATGCATAGTAGTATTTCTGCCAAGAGTAAGAGAAGAAGTTTGAAGTTTTGTTTATCAGTTACTGCTGTCACATAAGAGAATAGTGCTGCAAAATAAAATAGACAACTCTAACCTGCAACCGAATGGCCAAATAAACCATTGGGATGGAGATAGCCAGAACTTGCCAAGTCACAACAGCTAGCACTATAAGATTTGAATAGAAGTTTGTGGTAGCTCCAAAAGCGAAAACCAAGTTAAATGGAATATCAAGATCAACTATACTCAAATCTGATGAGACCTGCATCCACAAGTTTGGGGTAGCAAAAATGGTTAGGTCCATAATATCAGTATGATAGCTTGTTTTTAGAGGTTCATGTTTGAGATATTTACCCGGCTTAATATCCTCCCCAAAGGTGTAGAGTCATAAAATGACATAGGAGCACGAAAAAGAGAATTTAATAGCTCCGAGAACAAGGACTTTGATGATTGCAAACCTAAGAAAACCGTTGATAGGGATCTAGAGAGCAAAAACAGCGTTGAAACAACTCCAATTACCAAGTAAACTGTAATCAGTCTCAGAGTGCTAACATGGGGATTATCAACATTTGCAGCCATCCAGGAGTTCTGAGTTATCTGACCAATCACAAATGTTACGTGCGAGAGCATAGCAATGGCAAAGAACAAGTACCCTTTGTTCTGATTTAGATATTGAACATAAGGCGTAAATCCAGTGTCTCCGACTTCTCTCTCCTCTTGCTTAATCAACTGATCACCTCCAGGGGCTACAGATGTTTTACTAGTATCAGTCTTACGAATTTCTCTTGTATTTGATTCCCCCCTTGATGAAGAATTAACCTCTGCAACCCTTTCTGAACCAGCGGTCTCTTTGTGTGCATCAACCAAGTCCTGGAATTCTTTGCTTGAGGCCAATAACTGATGATAAGGAGCTGCATTTAAAATTTCTCCATCTGACATTAACTGTGAATAAAAGTAGACACATGTAAGGCAAACCATTCAGCTTCAAGGATTTCTGCGACATTTACAGAAAATATATCAGGAGTTCGAGAGTTTACTTCCTTTTTCTCCTTTAAAAAATAAAACATCCATAAGAAATCATATTGACAACAGAGTTTATCAAGAAAAACTAACCAGAACCATATCAAAAGCAGGAAGAAAATCAACTTGGTGGGTCACAAGTAAGACAGTCTTCCCTGAGAGAGCTTCCATGACGTATTCCTGCAGAAGATCATTTCAGATTTGAACTAGCAAACAATAAGAAATGACATGAAACACAATAATATGAATAACATTTCTCACATTGAATAAGCTACTAGCAGTATGGGCATCTACAGCACTGAACGGATCATCCAACAGATATATATCAGCACTCTGATACAGTGCACGAGCAAGCTGAATGCGCTGCTTTTGACCACCACTAAGATTAACTCCTCTTTCACCTATTTCAGTGAGATCACCATATGGTAGCAACTCAAGGTCTTTTAGCAGTGAACATTTTTCCAAAGTTTGCTGGTATCTCTGGCTATCCAGTGGAGAACCAAACAAAATATTTTCTCGTATTGACCCCGTCTGAATCCATGCTGACTGAGAGACATAGGCAACTGTTCCAAAAACTTTAACCTGCAGAACACAGAATCTGTAATCAGTTAGGAATATGGACATATTTCCACACCTATGCATATAGTGAAGTGAAATTGTGAATGCGCCTATGATAAAAACTTCAAAAACCTACTTGTCATTTCCTACGTAGCAAAGAAAACAGTAAGTAATGAATACAACTTACAGTTCCTTGAATACTTGGAACCTCTCCAAGAATTGCTGCCAGAAGAGTTGACTTTCCTGAGCCCACCTCCCCACATATAGCAATCTTCTCACCGGGTCTAACCTCCAAATTAATGTTTCTAAGAGTAGGTCGAGGTGGATTCTCTTCCCATGAGAGATTAGCTGATTTCATAAGTATGGCATGATCTGTACATCCAAAGTTGTGCTTCTGCCTAACATTTGCATTTTCCAGCTCGGGGGCCTCAAGGAACTTGACGATCCTTGCAAAGGAAACCTTGGCTTGAATCACCACACCAATAACGTCAGGAATGGTTCTTATTGGATCCTGAACCAGACGTAAAGTTGCTACAAAGGTGAAAACGTTACTTGCGTATAGTGGAACACCTAGAAAATAACAAGCCCCAAATGTTGCAGCAGAGACCAAAACAGGTGATGACCAGAAAAGGAAACTATTATATGCCTTCCGCAACTGAACAGCTGATAACCATTTCTCTTCTACTTTCCTCAAATTCTCAATGACACTCTTAAAATGAGTTTCCCATGCATATAGTTTCAGTACTTTCATATTAACAAGAGCCTCTGAGATAGCTTTCAGCCGATCATCTTGTGCAACCATTAGCTTGGACTGGAACCTATGTTGCAACTTTGCAAGCGGAGTATTGCACAGCACAGTGATTACAATCACTACCAAGGATGCAATAGTTGCGAGTCCAACTGCACGA